CTCAAGATAACATCATTGTTCAAAGTGCCTGCTGAGCTCCAGCCATAATGTCCATGTTCTAGGCCATCAGAAGACAAAGGGTAGAGAGCAAAATTATCTTCCCTAGAGGCCTATTACTTCTTCATGAAGCTTTCTCCAGAACTTCCCTCCTCCCACCCACATGTTGGACATGTCAGGTGTAAGGGAGATTATGAACTATGGTATTTTTTCTGGACACGTTGATGTCTCCAGTCTTGGAGGTATTCTGTTAGCTGATCAGGAGTGGAAAGTGGATACCTGGAAGGCATATTGAAAAATTAACCTCATCAATTATTTAAAATTTGTTGAAATTTTCTTTGCATTCTAATGTGTGGTCAATATTTATAAATATTCTATGCCACTTGAGACTAATGTACGTTTGAACTACTTGTTAAGCTCTGACTTCACTCCATGTACATCTTCTTTATCAAGCACAACTTTGTGTTTAAATTTGTGTCTATAGTAATTTAAGTTTTATTTGCCCCATCAGATTTGCATGCAAATATGTTAAATTCTCATACGTGGTTGTATATTTTCCAATTCCTCCTTATTTTGTTGCTTTACTTTATATATTTTGAGGCTATGCATGATGTTATAACTTCTTAATTGGTTTTTCTTTTATCATTATACAGCATTCTGCTTTATCCCTATTAATTCTTTTGCCTTAAAATCTCTTTTGCTGAGTACTAACATTGTTACACAAACTTTTATGTTTTTTAAAAATATTTTCACTCACTTTATGTAATGCCCTCTTGTTCAGCTTTCTTTTATGTCTCTTGTAACTGCACTTAATTTTTGTAATTTTGTCTGATAATCCTAGCTTCTTAATAGGTAAATTTCAATTTGTTTACATTTATTGAGATTCTGGATGTATATGTACACTGAGATTCCAGATGTATATGAACCTATATCTTCTGTGGTATTGTTGACCATTCTTTTATACACACACACACATACACACACACAGACACACACACGTATACTTTAAATTCTGGGATATATGTGCAGAACGTGCAGGTTTGTTGCATAGGTATGCACATGCCACGGGGGTTTGCTGCTCCCATCAACCTATCATCTGCATTAGGTATTTCTTCTAATGCGATCTCTTCCCTAGTCCCCCACCCCCGACAGGCCCCAGTGTGTGATGTTCCTCTCCCTGTGTGTTAACCATTGTTTATTTGTGTTTTTCACATCTCTTTCCTGCTTTCTAATGCATTGATATACAACTATATAGTCTTCCTTTTCTCCCTGCTGGTTTGGAAATTAAAGATAAAATGACTGTAATCTTTTAAATTATGCCCGAATCCCAAAAGATGACAAGAATCTTTTCATGGTTTCACTACAAATTGAACCCCCCATCTCTAACATTTGGCTATTGTTTAATATTTTATTTTTAACTATAAAATTTGAAACTATTATCATTTTTACAGTGGATGTTTACTTAATTTTAAAAAACTATTTTGTATACTCACCGTTGTTCTTTTTCTTTGGATTCACTTTTTGTCTAGCTAAAGTAAATTCTTTGGTTTTTCTAGTGAGTGATCTCTAAGTGGTAAACTTGCTGAGTGTTGTATGTACAAATTTGTCTTGTCTTTGATAGAACATTTTAGCTAGGTTAAAATTCTAGGTCAATATTTATTTATTCTCAGTATAGTAAAGTGATACTATATTATCTTCTGGAATCTATGGTGTGGCTGATGAAAATTACTCTCTTATTGTAACTCTAACTTCTTGGTAAATATTCTGTCCTTTCTCTCTAAAAGCTTTTTTTCCCAAAAATTTTATCATGAAAATTGCAAGCGTACAGAAGACTTGGGAGAATTGTACACTAAACTTCAATATACTTTCACATAGATTCACAATTAACTCTGTATCATTCCTGCTTTATCACTTTTCTATTTATCTGTGCATTTCTCTATCTACTCACTAACCGGTGGCCAAGTTTGAAACATTTCAAGGCTATAGACATTAGCACTCTTTCCCCTAAAATATGTCAGCATGTATATCATTAACTAGAGTTCAATATTTATTTAGAGTTTTTTTTGTTAAGATAAAATTTACAATGAAATGCACAAGTATTAAGTGTACCATTTGATGAGTTATTATATCTGCATTTTTCTGCAACATCAAAATTCTTATCAAGATACAGAACATTACCATCACCCTGGAAAGAGTTCCTTATGCCCTTTCTGGTATATCTTTACCCACTACCCATCAGGGCAATCACTACTCTTCTTCTTTTACCATAATAACTTAATTTGGGTTTTAAAAAACTTAGTATAAATAAGGTTTTATAGCATATTCTCATTAGTGTGAGATTTCTTTCACTCCACATGTTTTTGAGATTCATCCATATTGTTGAATGTCTTAGTAGTTTGTTCATTTTTATTGCTAAGTGGAGTACATTATCTGAACATACGAAATTTTGTTTATAATTCTCCTGTTGTTGGACACCTCGAGTATTTTCAGTTTTTTGCTATTATGAAAACTCCCCTGAGTGCATTCTTGTACGAGTCTGTCTGTTTTTCCATGTCTCTTGCGTAAATACCTAGAAACAAAATTGCTGGGATATAGAATAGATGCATCAGTTCTTTCCCCGCAGGACCCATGAAAATGATGGTGTGGAGCAAGCCCAGGTGGGTGCTGCACTCACAGGTGTGTGCTGCAGTTGGAGGAATGCTTCACTGAGGAAACCCATGGGTTTGTAAGGGGTCTGGTAGCAAACCTGCCCAAACCTTACCTCTGAGGGAGACATTATCTTTTTAGCTGGAATTTAGGGAACTCTCCTCTGGGGATATTAAGCAACTCTCCTCTGGAGATCTTAACCAAATCTCTTCCGGAGGCATCTCCTCTGGAAAATTTCTAAGGAGGGAGATGTTCTCCACGTTATACTGGTCAGGGAATACATTTGCCCCATAATCTGGAGGCTACATGATCTCTACCTTACAAGGCTGCTTTGCCATTTGAATATCCTTGAAGTGATACTCTGAGGCGTGTAGAAATGCCATGGAGAATGGCATCCCAGGAAACTCACACCACATATTTGCTTCTGGCAAATTTCCCTGTGAAGATACCACCGTATTAGCCACTCTGATTAGTCAGACCCATGGGTTCAAATCCATTTAATTTGTTTCCTACAACATTTAAAAATGTTGACCCAGTGCGGTGGCTCACTCATGTTATACTAGTGCTTTGGGAGATCACTGCAGGAGGATCACTTGAGGTCAGGGGCTCAAAAACTAGCCGGCACAACATGGTGAGACCCTGTCTCTACACACACATATACACACGTACATTTCATAAACTATAAATGATTTAGGTCCCTTATGACCACCTCTAAGGTCCAAGTCACCTTACATGAGGGAGGCAAGTTAACACCTGGCTTTCATATAAGAAGCACAATCCCCAGGGCACATGTGGTGCTCCCAGAAGGGTAGTGTTTACAATTGTTGGGATTCTCTGAGTGGGATATTCATTAGTCAGGGGGAAGGCGAACAATGTCTCCTACATGGCTCCTGGCTGGCTATAAGCCTTGAAGTTCCCAGTTCTGTTTGTTGCATCCAATCTTTGATTTGTTTGTGTGTGGGGGGGGGGAGAGGGTGGGCATGTGGGGGGACTGCTTGAGGACAGTCTGTCCAATCTGTCCTCTTTGTCCATGACACCAACCAGGTGTCAGTCGCCCTCTAACAAATGATTGAGAATAGGGGTGGGGACGGTGTCTAGAGGGTTCTGTTTGGGACCTCAGAAGCTGGGGCCAGCCTCTGCTATCTCATGGCTGGTGCAGAGAGGCCGACTCAGTATTCCCAGAGGCAGGAGCACTGGAGCAGGGTGTTTTCCTTGTGGACAAAGGATCCATGGATACTTCTGAAAGACAGATATCACCAGTACTCCTCTTTCCCCCATACGTATTTAGATGTCTTGATGTTTGCTCTTGATTCACTGCTGCAAAATCTGCTGTACCATTCCAGTGGCTGTACCTTCATCTTTTATCCTAGTCATCTCCTTTTTTCACTTAGACCATCCATCTACAAAATTAGATAGAAGTAGAGCAAAAGCATTTTCATAAAATGTGTCTGGAATTAATTCTGAATCCCCTGGGCATTCTGAAGGCTGTGCCCATCAGGCTTCTAGGGAGAAAGAATGAGGCATCATCCCTAGGAATGGTCATAAAAGAATCCTGAATTTTCAAGATAGGTCTACAGAGCACTCACAATCCCCCACCACCTTTGTCCTGGTCACTGTCCAGGAAGGAGATGGTCCCTTGCTGGGGACTGCTCCCTTCAGTGATCCTCCTGCCCTCCCATGGTGTGTGAACAAGAGGAGATAAGGGACATTCAGAAAATCAGTGCATTGTGGAGTCACTTTTCTGGTAAAGGGCACATCAGACTGCAAATGGGCCAGACGGCCAGATTCACGACACTGATGAGTTTCTAGGGTCACAATAGCGTTCCTGGAGTCAGCTGCTCTGCAGCCTGAAGGATGGCTGACAGTGCAGAGGCACTGCTGAGATTGTTTAATGAAACTGTATAGACATTCCATAATGATTACATAATTACATAATGAAAACTCTCCACATCAGAGTTCAGAATATCTCCCAACTTCCATTAGAGAATATTATCCATAACATCATCAGCTTCGAGGACTATGCCTTCTCACTGCACATTTGAATTTACACAACAAACACTTGAAAAGGGATCAAGCAACAGCAGTTATCATTCACTCTAAGGTGGCAGCAAGAGTTAATTTTCCATCCAAAATTGTGTCCAAAGGAAGATCATCTCCTATAGTGTCCCAAGCCCAAGGCTCACACCAAGTTAAAACAGAACTCTGTACTCAGCCTCCACATTGCTACACTGATCGTATTTTGCCCCATTCCTGTGAACCTAAATATGAAAAAAAATCTTGAGAACTACTGGCATATAAAACTCAGAGAACTACATTTATACCTCTGCATAATTAACTTTATTCTCTTTGGTTTGAAGGAAAAAAGAAGGGGCATTGCTGGACCAGAGTAAAAAGGAGAGGGCAGAAAAAAATCCAACAGAATGGTAAGCAGGCAGAGTGAAGTAGTTACTGCTTTTGTTTATTAGGGCACTGCCCATTGTATTCTTGAAGGCCTGCAGTTCCTGAGGGCCAGGATAGTTCTGTACCTCCTGTTTCAGTTAGGATGTAGACTAACAGGCTGTGACAAAGAGGCCTGAGAATGCAATGGCCTCAACAAAATGGTTTCTCATGCACGTAATAGTCCAGAGGTCCACAGTTAATAGGGAGGTGTTATCATTCTCAGTATGACTTTCTTTTCTAGCTCAAGAAATTTTTATTAATTTGGAAAAATGTTCCTAAGAGGGCTAAATAAAGAAAGGTATGTGTGTACCATTGTAAACTATACATATATAATTATATATGTAATTGTAAGTTATACGTATATATGCATAACCATATTTTATGTGAAATTTATGCTTGTGAAGTATGTTTTTATGTATCTATCAATCCTTATATATACATATGTAATTATCTCTACATATAAAGAGACATAAATATAGAAAAAATCAATGGCAGTTCATTCATAAAAATACATGCAGTGGTTACATTTGGTCAGTGATGTTTATATTTTTATTTGCGGTTTTTAAATGTATGTATGTTTATTAAAATATTAGAAATCATCAACATTTGTAGTGAAAAAGTGTTCTTTAAAAAGTAACATATGCAAGAAGAAACAACTAGGAGAGTATTTGAACAAATCATCATCTGGAGATAGCCATCATCATCTGTGGCTATCCAGATGGTGGTGTTTCATACCATTTTATTTTTGGAGTTTCCTATAATTATATTCTTTATAATCAGACCCCTAAAATCTTATTTATTTTAGTCATGGTCTGAGGACTTCCTTTCTTCTAGACGATGAAGGTTTAAGTCTCATTTTCCAAATGATTGTTAATTTTGAATCAGTGGATCTAAATAGTAAAATTTTAGAGTCTTATCAAAAATTATTAATTTTTATGAAACTATATGTCTTCTATTCTTGCCAGTTGATGGGGCTGCTTCGTTGGTGGATGTGTATAGTTTTGTTTGGAAAGGAAAAAAAGTGGCTGCATCCACTTTAAGAATGGGTGTTTTTAAATTAAAAATTTGTTTGGACCAAATCATTGTAACATTTTTCATTTAGGTCTGTGTGTATGTAGACAAATTCTAAGGTACTTCAATGTGCAGTTAAATCCTGTGTGTAATTTAAAAGCTGACACTCCTAAAGCAGAAAATGCTCTGGACACCTGCTTGAGGTTCTGTGTCTGAGTGTCTAAAGAAAGAGGATCCATAATGAAACCCAGGACTCCCTCACTTGCTTTTGGTCCAGCCTGTCAGCTGTTGTTCTGCCCTGTTCTATTAATACATTTTCCCCTGCCTATCCCCAGGTAACAGCAAAGCTGATGGCCAGTTGATGTCCAGTGAAAAGAAGACGAACGTGAATCTCCAAGGCCCTTTCAAGATTAGGAGTAAGATAAAAGTTTATGCCACTTTCCTTTTGCCCTACAGGTTAATACAAATTTTACTGAGATATTGATGAGCTTAGATCCTTCTTAATTGTTTACTTGTCAAGCTTAGTCAATTTGAGAGCAGTGAAATCTAAAAAAGCAAATCCATTAGAAGTTAGGGTTGTAAGTTGATTATATTCATATAATAGATCTTATCTGCCCAGTTTCTAAAATAGTTTTCCTGTTTTTTATCTGATTTTCCTGGAAATTCCTTTGCCTTACATCATTGGTTTATTAAAACGGCCGGACCCGGCAAATTGTGAGCAGATTACAGGTTATTCTCTCACTGCCCTTTCAAGTCCTCCTCCTAGATGAGTTATTTCCTGTCTTGAGCACAGAGGTACAAATATCTTCCCTCGATATGATATGTGTAGCACAACTCTCACCACCTGTTAGGGTTTCCCTTAACTCACAGAATTGTCATTTATTTGTGCCTCTGCTAAGAAAAACCCAAATGCCTTCACTTAATTTTGTAGTCTTGTCTCAATTTTCTCTGAATATTTTAGTTTCTGTAATGATAGCAGTCATCATTTTGATCTTACAAAGATTAAATAAATTAGTGGATGTGTAAGTGTTTAACATATATATGCCATATATATTTCAAATATGTATATTTGAAATGAAATATGAAATGAACTTTCAAAATATGAAATGAACCTTCAAAATATGGAATGAAGCATTTATACTGTTGCTTGAGATATATGTGAAATAGCGATTTCAATTAGTTTTTTTTCTAATGTAAGAATACGAAAATGAAATATAAAGTGAATCTAATACTAGCCATCTAATTCTTCATACTTTAAAGGCTAGGGTTTAAATCCTTTTATTTATGCATTCAACAGGCTTTTGGAAAGTTACATTTAAATGGAATTTTTGAGAAGCAGTAATATATGTAATACAGCTGCTTGTCTGTGCCTGTGATTATATTATTCTACTTTCTCAGGGAGAAAGAGAGGCAGACCTAGAGCCCGCTTCACCCAGACTAACAGAGGTCCACAGAAAAGAGTCCGATCAAGAGGTAAAAAAGAAAAGAGGAATGCACTTTCAATAACCCAACATCTAATTTACTGTGCTTTATGCTGTATTTTCAGTAATAAACCTATTTCCTTAATTGTTTTGTGAAGCTGACTATTGAGAAATGTATCCAATTTAGTCATTTCCAAAACATGTCAAGGAAAGAAGAAAGTAAGTTGGTGATGCATCTACAACCAGACCCCAGGGGCCCAGGGGACACGAAAGCGCTACTTCCACTGAAATGATAAATTTCATGGTTGGAGATAGTCCATTGCCATATAAAGGGTATAACCCATAAGTTACTTAGCTGACCTTCCTCTGGCTACACAGAAAGCCACAGGTTTCACACTAAGGGTGAACCAGAGTTGTGGTTATAGATCTGTGTCCTAAGACTTTCTTTACCTTTGTGTGGGCTTGAAGTGATCACTTGACCTTATTTGCTTCAGTTTTCTCATTTGGAAAGCAGGAGCATGAATTAGGCCAACCATCTTTTGAAAAATTTTTATTTTTATTATACTTTAAGTTCTGAGATACATGTTTAGAACATGCAGGTTTGTTACATAGGTATACATGTGCCATGGTGGTTTTCTGCACCCATCAACCTGTCATCTACATTAGGTATTTCTCCTAATGCTATCCCTCCTCTTACCCCTCACCCCCGACAGGCCCCAGTGTGTGATATTCCCCTCTCTGTGTCCATGTGTCCTCATCTCCCACTTATGAGTGAGAACATGTGGTGTTTGCTCTTCTGTTCCTGTGTTAGTAAGCTGAGAATGATGGTTTCCAGCTTCATCCATGTCCCTGCAAAGGACCTGAACTCATCCTTTTTTATGACTGCATAGTATTCCGTGGTGTATATGTGCCACCATTTCTTTATCCAGTCTATCATTGATGGACATTTGGGTTGGTTCCATGTCTCTGTTATTGTGAACAGTGTTGTAATAAACATACATGTGCATGTGTCTTTATAGCAGAATGATTTATAATCCTTTGGGTATATGCCCAGCAATAGCATTGTTGGGTCAAATGCTGTTTCTGGTTCCAGATCCTCGAAAAATCACCACACTGTCTTCCACAATGATTGAACTAATTTACACTCCCACCAACAGTGTAAAAGCATTCCTATTTGCTCACATCCTTTCCAGCATCTGCCATTTCCTGACTTTTTAAAGATCATCATTCTAACAGGTGCGAGATGGTATCTCATTGTGGTTTTGAGTTGCATTTCTCTAATGACCAGTGATAGTGAGTTATTTTTTCATGTTTGCTAGCTGCATAAATGTTGTCTTTGAAAAGTGTCTGTTCATATCCTTAACCCACTTTTTGGTAGGTTTTTTTTATTTTTCTCTTGTAAATTTGTTTAAGTTCTTTGTAGATTCTGGATACTAGCCCTTTATAAGATGGATAGATTGCAAAAATTTTCTCCCATTCTGTACGTGGGCCAACCATCATTCTTATTAGTCCAGCCCAGTCCTAATAGTCTGCCTTTCTAAAAATTTGTACCAAGACCAAGGACAGCTCCCCTGTTTGTCATGACTTCTGTTGCCTAGGCTGGAGTGCAGTGGTGTGATCTCAGCTCACTGCAACCTCTTCCTCTCAGGTTCAAGCAATTCTCCTGCCTCAGCCTCCCAAGTAGCTGGGATTACAGGTCGGTGCCCCCATGCCTGGCTAATTTTTATATTTTTAGTAGAGATGGAGTTTCACCATGTTGGCCAGGCTGGTCTTGAACTCCAGACCTCAAGTGATCCACCTGCCTTGCCTTCCCAAAGTGCTGTGATTACAGGCATGAGCCATCGTGCCTAGCCCTACACCTTTGGCTGGAAGGGCAGGATTTGCTGCTCACGCTCCTGGAGTTCCTTTGAAGAACTTTCACCCCCTACTTCTGTGAAATCAAGTCTCCAGTCCTCCATCTGCCACCCTGTATAATTTTCAGATTATTCTAGAGCTTCCTGAGCTCTTCTCTCAGCTATGGGGAAAGCTGACATAAAGGAGAAATGAACCAAAGCAGAGAACAAAAATAGAAGTCAGACATCGTATCCATTAGGTTATCTCATCATTATCCTCTCACTGCTTGCCCAGTCAGTGCCAAAATGGGGAGATCGAGTATGGTCTCTGGCTTCACCTAAGGCTACCTACCTGCAGCAAAACAGCATAGCTGGAGAGCTCCTGTCAGACCAGTGACAGCAACTGTGTTTCATTATCATATAAGAATCAGTGGAGCTTACTAGATTAGGAGTTTTACTGAAGTCTAATTTCTCTGCCAAAGCATTCCATTTTGTATGAAACTTGAAAGGTGAAATTGGGGTAGATATTCTGTAGTTATGTATCAAAAGTGCCACTTTGAAGGAAGACTTTGAAACTCTAGAAATTTTTGGAATAGAATTTTCTAAGTATCCCTTGTGTCTTTATAGGAATTACCTCAGTAGGGAGGGGGGATGTGCCTTTGCAAAGTGAGACAGAGTGAAGAAATCCTCTCTTTCAGTTTCAAGAAAGCGCAAAGACAAAACTGTGGATTTTAAGGCTCCTATACTTCCAGTGACCTGTGGTGAGGTGAAAGGAATTTTACATAAGAAGAATTTGAAACAAGGTAGGTTTTATGGTCTTCTTTAATTTGCAGCTCCTATCTGAAGGTATCACAAGTAGTGGGGAATTATCATGTGAATTACACCTCATTCAAGGAGTTTTGACCCCAGTTTGGCTTGCGGGAAGGAGGAAGGGATCCCTAAGATGACATTTTCAGACTTTAAGAAATCGCACCCATTAAATGCTCACTCGCACAGGTAGTGTCCAGAGGGTGCCCGAAGAATCAAGAAGAAGTGCAGGAACGTCAGTTCACAGATGGAAAATGTCATGTATTTTTACCTTGAGTCAGACAGAAAAGGGAAGAGGCCCTCAACCTCAATCTTCATATTCTCCCTTCCTTCTGGAGTGCTGTCACCAAGGCAGGGTGCTTGGCTTAGGGTGACAGTCTCAGGTTTTAAAATTAGGAAGCCTGAGTTCCAGCCTTGGCTGTGCCAGGAATGACTGTTCCATTCTAAGTAGAGAAGGGGGCCTTTCTGAACCTGAAATTTCTCATCCAAGAGAGGGAAGAATAATTGAACACCTGCCTCATGATATAGCTGTGAGAACTAATTTACATATTGATGTAAAATACATAAATTTACATGTTTTTATTGTAAATTATAAGAAACTTTGCAAAAAATGTCTATTAGAATGGCCATCATCTCAGACTACTTGTAATATGACTCTTTGGATGCCAATTAATAGAAATGTTTGCATTGTGACTAGTTTTAAACAGCTTTACTGAGATATAGTTCACATATCATACAACTCGCCACTTAGAGTGTACAAATCAACTATTTTTTGTATATCCCCAGAATTGTACAGTCATCATTATCCTCTAATTTTAGAACAATGTGCTCCCCACTAAAAAAAAAAAACCCTTGTCAATTAGCAGTCAATGTCCATTCCCACCTAAGCAGCCACTAATCTATTTTCTGCTCTATAAGTTTGCCTATTGTAGGCCTTTCTGTAAATGGAACTCTATAATACATGCCCTTTCTTGACTGCCTTCGTTCACTGAGCATGATATTTTCAAAGTTCATCCACAGTGAATGTATTAGTACTTCATTCCTTTTATTGACAAATAATATATTTCATTGTATAGATATACTACATTTTGTTTATAAACTCATTATTTGGAACTATTTTCACTCTTTGGCTATTATAAATAATGCTGTTTTGAACATTTGTGTAGCAAGTTTTGTGTGAACATATTTCAGCTCTTTTGGGTGTATATTCAAGAGAGGAATTACTAAGTCATATGGTAATTCTGTGTTTAACTTATTGAGGAATCACCAGTGTTTTCAACAGTGGCTGCACTATTCTATATTCCCACCAGCAGTGTTTGAAGGCTCCAATTTCTCTACATGCTCACCAACCTTGTTATTGCCTGTGTGTGTGTTTTTTTTATTACACTCATCCTAGTGGGTGTGACATGGTATCTCATTGTGGCTTTCCTTTGTGTTTCCTTAATGACTAATGGTGTTGAGCATGTGGCTATCTTTTACATAAACATTAAATTTTTTATTGGATAACATTTCACAATTAGTTTTTAAATATCAGCTACCCATGATTGCAGAGATGTGAAAATCTCTGTTCAATAATGCCATTCAACTGCACAAAATATGTTATCATTGAGAGTGCAGATGTTGCTGGAGTGGCCCCCTGAGCCATAGGGCACCCATCTTAGACCGTAGCCAGAAGTTGAGGATTCTGCCTCCAACATTGCCCTCAGAGCCATCTGGAGACTCAGGCCTGGTCTCTACTTCCAAATTTGAATAGCAATTTGGAATCCTCTTATCTTTCAGAATCACTTGCTTTTCCTTCTGTAAGTGCTTTTGAAACACTTAAAAGGATGCTCTTGATGATAACTATTACTTTCTTCATGGATGAAAGTCAAAGAAATGTGTACCCTCACAGGAAATATCCTTAGAGGGAACTTTCAGGCTGGATTTGGGGCCTCTGAAGGTTGAGAGGGAAGGCCAGACCCTCCTGCTGTTGATCTGGATCACAAATTGTGTGATCAGTTGGTGAGTGGCCACAGTCTGAGCACTGGGAACAAAGAGGGCTCAGGATCAACTTACCCTGGTCTTACAGGAATCTTGGTGAAGTGTATACAGAGTGAGGATGGAAATTGGTTCACGCCCAGCGAATTTGAAATCAAAGGAGGCCATGCAAGATCAAAGAACTGGAGGCTGAGTGTGCGCTGTGACGGGTGGCCCCTACGATGGCTGATGGAGGTATTCCAGTGACAAAGGGCCAGACCTGTGCCCCTTCTTGTTGTTCCCTAATAATGAGGTCACTGTTTATTCACCAAATGTGTGTTAGGTCATAGCTAAAGCCTTGATTCCAGTGAGTTTATCCTCTCACTCAGGAGAGGGACTCCACATTCATAACGCAGTGCAGCACATCCATGTTGTACCAGGGACTCCATCAGGATAGACACAGCAGCTTGGAGGAGGGAAGGGTCAGTCTGACTAGGGTGCATGCAGACAGCTTTGTGCACTGAAAAAAAGAAAAGAGTTGGTAGTCAAAAAGTGGAGGAAGACACTTCAGAGAAAGAATGGCATACAAGCCAGAATGGCATGAAAACTATAACCATGGCAAAAGTAGCTTTGCGGATTTTTTTTTTTTTTTTTTTTTTGAGACGGAGTTTCGCTCTGTTACCCAGGCTGGAGTGCAATGGCGTGATCTCGGCTCAGCGCAACCTCCGCCTCCTGGGTTCAGGCAATTCTCCTGCCTCAGCCTCCTGAGTAGCTGGGATTACAGGCACGCGCCACCATGCCCAGCTAATTTTTTGTATTTTTTTTTTTTTAGTAGAGACGGGGTTTCACCATGTTGACCAGGATGGTCTTGATCTCTTGACCTCGTGATCCACCTGCCTCGGCCTCCCTAAGTGCTGGGATTACAGGCGTGAGCCACCGCGCCCGGCCTAGCTTTGCGGATTTACATAGACAGGTTGTGTGCAATTAGGCATAATCCAACAATTGGAGCAGTTTGTAGAGAGCTTTAATGCCAGGCAGAAGAGATCAAAGCTATAACTGAGATAACAAGGATTCAGTGAAATCTTTTAGGATTGGAAATGACATTTAGTATAATATTTTATTTTATTTTATTTATTTGTAGGAGACAGTCTTGCTCTGTCACCCAGGCAGGAGTGCAGTGGCTCAATCTCGGTTCACTGCAACCTCAGCCTCACAGGTTCAAGTGATTCTTGTGCCCCAGCCTCTCAAGTAGCTGGGACTACCGTCATGCACCACCCTGCCAAGGCTAATTTTTATATTTTTAATAGAGACGAGGTTTCGCCATGTTGGCCAGGCTGATCTCAAATTCCTGACATCAAGTGATCGGCCCTCCTCAGCCTCCCAAAGTGCTGGGATTACAGGAAACAGCCACTGCACCTGGCCATAAAACAGTATTTTAGGCAGCCATCAGGCTTTCCCCACTAGCAAACCTATACTCAATCTAGAATGCTCAGCTCAAGTGTTACCCCTTCCTGAATGTTCATTGAGCTGGCCATGGATAATCCCTTCCCAGGACTCCTGAGCCCTCTGCTAAGGCCTTTCATTCGCTGTTTTATATTTATTCTTTTGTGAGTGCTTTTTGTCTGTAGACCCCTTTTGGTTTTCCCATCTTCATGTGTCCAAGATCGGAGTGACTGACACCCAGTAGCATGCAGTAAGTGTGTGCTGCTCAAATAGCTCTGGTATAGGGACTCCAGCTGGAGTGGCACTGGTGGGACTGGAAAAGAGGTGATAGATGGTATGAGATTACTAAAACTTCTTAGGATTTAGTAAAGAAGCACAAGAAAAGGGAAAATTGTGCTGAAGATGATTTTCTGGCTTCTATTGATTAAAGTATAGAAGCAGCACAGGGGAAGAGAGGGAGATGGTTTCTCATTCAGACACCTTGGGTTGGAGCTGGCAGTGGAACATTCAGGTAGAAATATTTGGGAGGAGGTTGGAAATGCCAGACTCACAGAACAGAAACACAGGCTGACCATGTACCTGAATCTTTTTGTCTTTCAGAATGGATTTCTGCATAATCCTCCAAGAACTAGGAAAAAGAAGGTAAGTATTACATAACTTTCTACAGGTTCTTGTCACATAACTGATTTAATACGCATAAAATCTTCTTTTATGGGGTCTGAAATTGGGTATTTATAATTAAGCTTCCACCTTCTCCACTACCCACCTTAAAACATTTTTTTTGGTATATGCCTTCAGAGTTACTAATTTGAACGGTAAATATATATGAAGCTAGGCCCTCTTTGGATTAAACAATTTCATATGAAGATGATAAGGAACCATCAAAATAGACCTCCCGGATCTGTTTTTTGCAATAGGTGCAGATGCTTTAAGAGTGTCAAAGTTGAAAAGTCAAACATGGTCATCAGATACATAAAAATATTTCAAAATAAGGTGAAAGAAATCATCTTCAACTCAAATTTCAGATTTTTTTCATTGAAGTTACTATTTTCTAACTTTAGTGAAATCAGATGGAGCAGATGTTTGCTCACATTTGAGACATATATGAAACCATTTATCATTTCATGAAATAGCCAACAAAAAGAATATTTATTTTCTGATCCTTCACATCCTCTTTCATCTTCCAAAAAAATGTACACAAAGACACACCTAATATCTTCCCCAGGGGACATTATTTCCCATTACCAGGATGGTACCACTGGGGAGGAAGGTCTCTGAAGGTAGATGTATTTTGTAGAAGGGGCTGATCAGGAAAATCTTTTATGTTGATGCCACCTCTTTGGCTCTGCCAGAGGGACTGTGCAGACCTGCTTTTTATCTGTGAAACTGATTTTTCCCTCTCTTGAAGAATGCAGCAAACAAATAGGTTAAGTGCAGTGTAGATTCAGGACAAGGTGATAGTTTTTCCAAGACGGTATGAATGAGAACCTGAGAAGGGGGAGGGAAAAGTGTCATCCTTATGCACTTCAGGTAGAAATATGCATTTAAGACACTCACAGCCTTCTAAAACAGCCACTGGGCTTCATATTCTACTGGGAATCTGCGATCCAGGCCTTTGCATTATCCGATGTTCTGGCTGATTTGAACTCTCAGCCACTGAGACATTTCATCCACTGGGTTTCCTGAAGGGAAACTATTATGTCACCTATTGAGTGAGTACACTAAAGACCAGCATCTCTACCTTTCCCTGGGTGCCATGAGAAACTCAGTCTAGATGACCCAAATGAACTGGCAATTGCCAACTCACTGACTCTCTTCCAATTCTGGGGTGTAACACTTTGCAGCAACAAGCTGCCATTGCCTCTACATTTTGTGTCTCCTCGTGGAGAGAACAGAAGCTCCCTTAAGTGGCAGATCTCAGGAACCATTATGAACTCCATGGATCCTCTGTGCCTCTCAGAGCTTCTCTTACTTATAGAGCCACTTGGCTTCTGGAAACTTCAGTGTCACTATCAGTGCCACATGATAGCATCTCTGCTCAGGCTCATGACAAGGGCCACATAAACCTTTTTATGGCAGCTGAGGTGTTGTAAAACAATAGGATATACTCAGCCAGAATAATCGTTGTGTGTAATGTTTGCTTAAGAGACTCTAGTAATTTTTGTGAGATAATATTCATTTATTCACCCATTCAACATATAATTATCAAGCACATACTAAATGCCAATAACCATCACAGAAGATTGACCTCAAAAATTATTTCAGGCCAGGCACAGTGACTTGAGCCTACAATGCCAGCATTTTGAGAGGCTGAGATGGGAGGATGACTTGAGCCCAAGAATTTGAGACCAACCTGGGCAACATAGTGAGATACTCCTTCTACCAACAAACAAACAAACAAAAAAGAAACAAAAACCTAGGCATCATGGTGCACACCTGTAGTCCCACCTATTCAGGAGACTGAGGTGGGAGGATCACTTGAGGCTGGGAGGTCAAAGCTGAAGTGAGCTGCGATTTTATCATGGCACTCCAGCCTGGGTGACAAAGTGAGACTCTGTGTCAAAAAAAAAAAAAAAAAAGATTGTTTTAATTTTATTGTAAACATGGATGAATTACAAATGGGGTGGGATGGGAGATTCTAGGCTAGTCAGAGAGGCAGTCAGGGACAAGGTCACCTCTTAGATGCTTGTCCTTTGGATCACACTTGTTTATGGCCTCTGTTGCCAGGGGTATAGACAAAAGCTGAGCCTGTCTGTATCCCAGAAGGGAAGGATGCCAAGTCATGCAGTGGATACCCAAAAGCAATCTAAATAAATCTAGTGGGTTACCTCTGAAAATTCAGTCAACCTGACATCTTTTTGTGACTTGTATAGAAGGGTTAGAGGAGGCTTTCAGGAAGAAGAACTGCAGCACAGAGGAACTTGGAGGCATTTTATCACCAGGGCTCTGTCCCTAGAGGGGCTGGAGAAAGTGGTGTTCTTCTCTGGGACACTTCCATGGCCTCCAGGACTCTGGGCCCTAGGTCCCTGGAGGCTGTGGGGGATGAGTCCTCAGCCTGATTATTATTGCAGCTCCTCTGGGTGGGATGACACAAAGTCCAAGTTTAGGAGATATGACTGAGGGCCCCTTGGAGTAGGAGGACAAGTAGAGTTTCTCTGACTTGGCCTTTGCAAACTAGGTCCAGACTCCCTGCAGGGAATGGGACTTGCATTGGGCTGAACGGTAATACTTCAGCACTTTTCATTCTCTCAGTAGATATGTAGGTCCATAAAATCAGGTGTGAGGTAAAGGGAAGACTGTTTAAAAAAACTAAAACTTTAGACAAAATAAACTTAATAGTATTTATTGGAGCAAAGAGCAAGTCATGAATTGGGCAGCACAGAGAACAAGGAGAAGTTTAGAGAGCTCTTCTGCAGCAGTCCAGACAGTGAGGCCAACACAGGAGTAAGACAGAAACTATATTAATTAGCATCATGGAAAGATGCTAATTAGAGGTTAGATGGCGGATTCTAGTTGGCAAGTCTCTAGTTTCATTTTACTGTTTCCATCAGGTTTCAGTTTGCTTACTTAGGAACTTAAAGCACTGGAGCCACCCCAGCCTGCTAGCCTTCTTATCTTCCCAATTATTTTTTACAACTCGTTCCTGAATCCCTTCAAAGATGACTATTTAAATTTAAATAAGTGATAGATGGAAACAACACATTCAATATTATAAATCAATCTTTCTTTCTTTCAACAGAGAATACTGAAGTCTCACAATAATACCTCAGTTGACCCTTGTGTAAGTACAAATTCTGAACTATTACTCCCAGTATGTCCCACTCCTTTCTCCAGGCATATGTTCTGTGTCATGACTGCTGTTCCCTGAAGCATGTTCAGTCTCAGTTGGAGTATGTTGCTCTGTGTGATGAGCAAAGAATACCAGATGCATCCCCCAAGCCAGGCAGATGTGTCTGGGCTTGGCTGTCTCAGTGTGAAAGCATTCTTTCCCTTTGTTTCAGTGGAAACATTCCAATGTTCTTATTTCCCCTGGATAGTGAGTATGGGAGGCTGAGCTCTAGACCACTGAGGTCTCTAGAGACAAAGCTTGAAGTGGTAATAGATAGGGCCGGCCTGGTGATTAGGGGGAAGGAGCAAATGTGAGAGGATAACAGCATTTTCAGGTAAGTGGTGTGGATGAAAGGGAAAATCCTGAAAATGCACTCCAAGGTGCAGGTAGAGCTAAAGATGGTCTTAAGCATCAGCCAGAAGGAACAGGCCAGGCCAAGCTATTATGTTCAATGTGTGGAGCCTGTCATTAGTTCGGTAAAGGAATGGCTCAGGGAAGCCATTAGAGTGCTGAGCTGGTTAGAACTGAAACCATCATGACCCAGCAAATCATGAGGCATTTTTACTCAACTGCTTATCTGGTGCTCGGTACTATGCAAACCTTCTGATCCCATGGGCCCCATCCATTCTCTGCTTGCTATATGGCTGCCTGCTTTGGGTTCTGCTGAAATCATAGATGAGTCCCTTCTGTAAATGAAGTCATGGTTTGATTCTTTTCATTGCAGTGAAATGTCTATTTTAGGCAGGGTCACCTTCTTGGACAACTGTAGGGGGCAGCACTCACACAGAATATCATGCAATAACACTGACACATGATACTTAACAGAAGAGGGATAAGCAAATAGTTTTATTATTATTATTATTATTATTTTTTTTTTTTGAGACGGAGTTTCGCTCTTGTTACCCAGGCTGGAGTGCAATGGCGCGATCTCGGCTCACCGCAACCTCCACCTCCCAGGTTCAGGCAATTCTCCTGCCCCAGCCTCCTGAGTCGCTGGGATTACAGGCACGCGCCACCATGCCCAGCTCATTTTTTGTATTTTTAGTAGAGACGGGGTTTCACCATGTTGACCAGGATGGTCTCGATCTCTTGACCTCGTGATCCACCCGCCTCGGCCTCCCACAGTGCTGGGATTACAGGCTTGAGCCACCGCGCCCGGCCGCAAATAGTTTTATATACACCTTACCTCCAAAGCAATCCTCCAACAAGATTTAGGTCTTATCCACACTGATTTGATGCTCAGCCAATTCAGAGGCTCACGAATGGTTAAAACAGCCCTGGAGGTCAGTGTTTGTGTGGCTGATTTTGTATGGGCTAGACATGGAGGTTTAGGTTTCACAGCCAACAGCCAGATGTATGTGGGGAAAAGAGTGAAACAGTTCCAGCAAAGGCATGGTCACCTCTGTTAATAAGTTTTCCAAGGCCAGTAACAACATTGACTTGTAACATCCTCATGTCTCCATAACCAGACTTTGCTCAGGTTGTATCTCAAATTGTCGTGCGGCCTGGAATCACCTGAAGAGCTTTAAAAAATATATTGTTTCCTGTATCCCACTTCTGGGGAAATTCTAATTTAATCAGTCTGCACTACTTATGACTTGAACATTAGGATTTTTTTTTTTTTTTTTTTTTTTAGACGGAGTTTCGCTCTTGTTACCCAGGCTGGAGTGCAATGGCGCGATCTCGGCTCACCGCAACCTCCACCTCCTGGGTTCAGGCAATTCTCCTGCCTCAGCCTCCTGAGTAGCTGGGATTACAGGCACGCGCCACCATGCCCAGCTAATTTTTTGTATTTGTAGTAGAGACGGGGTTTCACCATGTTGACCAGGATGGTCTCGATCTCTTGGCCTCATGATCCACCCGCCTCGGCCTCCCAAAGTGCTGGGATTACAGGTGTGAGCCACCGAGCCTGGCCTCGAACATTAGGATTTTTTAAAGATCCCCAGATTTACCAATTCTGATACATAGAATTGCCCATTCTGTCACAAAGAAGAACATCAGTGCCTGTGCGTCAACCGTGACCCATTGATTCAGAATCTCTCATGTTGGATTCAGGACATTAGCATTTTGTATACTCTCCTGAGATGAGTCTAATGCATAGCCAGGCCAGCAACCAAAGAACCAGAGAAATCAAATCTCTTCTTGAAAAGATATGGGTTTGGAAGGGGGGAAAAAGGCATATAAGAGGCAGGACTTACTTGCTCCTCCTACTCAGATGGACAGAACAGCATGTTGAGAGTCACACTGTAAACTTTTGCTACAGGAATCACCACAGGAATATACCAGCAAAACTGAAGGAATCACAAACCCTTTGAAAGAAGTAGCTTGCCACTGCAAATTCCATGAGACAGCCAAAAAACTGTGGGTTCCCAAAGTGTGAGAAGGAGAAAGTCCATCTCTGAACACACATCCTCACTGGGGAACCTAGAAATCCAGATCACAGGAGAAGGATTTAACCTAACCTAGACCTGAAATGAATTTAGGGAGCTGGCTGAAATATAAAAGTAGAAATAGCAGCAGGAAGAGCTGTCTCCCCCAAGGACCCTTGTAGGCAGGTCCCCAGGGAAGTCATTTCTGACTTTATCTCACAGAAGTCCTTGGGGAGGGCAGCCAGTACAATTTGGGGAGGGCCATGGGGAGAAGGAGGCTTCCAGCCAAACTTTGTGGTTATTTTGACCAATCACAAATTTTCCTGGTCAGAATCTGAAGGGTGTGAACCTGAAGTACAGTTATAAGCACAGAAGCCAAGGCAGACAGGGAGGGGTGAGACCTGAAAGCCCTGCTTGCTTTCTCAATGGGGAGGCTTGTAGCCTGGGGCAAGATCTTAGCTCCAGGCAAAGGAGGCCTGGATGTAAATTTGGCTCTGTTGGCTGTTGGGGCACCACGGTGGTGGGAGTGAGACTGGCCTTTCTGGCTGCCTGGGAGCTGGGTAAGGCCTGTCACTGCTGGCTTCCCCTACTTTTCTAGCAAACTGTATGAAGCAGCAGAGGCAGCCATAATCCCCTCTGGAACATAACTCCATTAGCCTGAGAACCACTCCCTCATCCCTGACAGTGGCCACAGCAAGCCCTGCCTGAGAGTCTGAGTTCAGACACACCTAACCCTGCTCCCAACTGATGGTCTTTCTCTACCTGCCCCTGGAGCTGAAGACAAAAGACTCATGGGAGATCTGTGACCTCAGCCTTCACCTGAGAAACCTAAATACTTATCCAGTGACCTGAGGTCAAGCTTGTATCTCCCCCGTACTTGCAGCTGATGCACTTTTGAAAGTGCCACCTCCTGGCTGAAGGCCAGACAACTCAAGTCATGACAGCCACTCGTAACAGAACAACCTTGCTGCAGGAAGGAGAAAACAACAGTGCATTCTACTGCCTTAACATCCTGGCTCACCAGAGGTCCTGAGTCTGTCCGTGTGACAACTTCACTGTTAGCATAACCAGCATTTGAGAAAACCAGTGCACTAAACAAAACTATGACCAAGGACTCTCACAGAATCCACTTCACTCCTCTGCTGCCTCCACGAGAGCCAGTGCTAGTACCTACAATTGGGAGGACTGAAGACAGAAAAAGTCATAGGAACCTTTACAGATATTCCCTAGTACTAGCCCAGAACCCAATAGCTCTGCTGGGTGGCCAGACCCAGAAGAACAATAACAATCACAGCAGTTTGGCTCTCAGGAAGCTCCATCCCTATGGGAAAGGGGAGCACACCACATTAAGGGATCACTCTGTGGGACAAGAGAATCTGAACAGCAGCCCTTGAGTTAGAGATCTTTCCTCTAACATAGTCTACCCAAATGAGAAGGAACCTGAAAAACAATTCTGAAATGGCAAAACAAGTTTCTATAACATCCCCAAAAGATCACATTAGCTCTCCAGCAATGGATCCAAACCAAGAAGAAATCTCTGAATTGCCAGAAAAAGAATTCAGAAAGCTGATTATTAAGCTACTCAAGGAAGAACCAGATAAAGGTATAAAGCAACTTAAAGGAATTAAAATAAAAATAGAGGATATAGATAAAAAAGTCTCCAGAGAAATAGATGTCATAAATAAAAATATATTAAAACTTCTGGAAATGAAAGACATGCTTAGAGAAATACAAAATACACTGGAAAGTTTCAACAATAGACTAGAGTGAGTAGAAGAATGAACTACAGAACTTGAAGACAAGGCTCTCAAATTAACCCAATCCAACAAAGAAAAATAACTTTCTAAAAAATCAACAAAGCCTCCATGAAGTTTAGAATTATGATAAATGACCAAACCTAAGAATAATTGGTGTTCCTCAGCAAGAAATCTAAAAGTTTGGAAAACATATTTGAGGGAATAATCAAAGAAAACATTGCTGGCCTTTCTAGACAGTTAGACATCCAAATACAAGAAGCTCGAAGAACATCTGGAAAATTTATCAGAAAAAGATAATCACCCAGGCAAAGAGTCATCATGTTACCTAAAGTCAAGACAAAGGAAAGAATCTTAAGAGCTATGAGGCAAAAGCATCAGCTAACTTACAAAGAAAAATCTATCAGATTAACAGCAGATTTCTCAGCAGAAACCCTACAAGTTAGAATGGATTGGGATCCTATCTTTAGTCTCCTTAAACAAAGTAATTATTAGTCAGGAATTTTGTATCCAAGAAACTAAGCTCATAAACGAACGAAAGATAAAGTCTTTTTCAGACAAACAAATGCTGAGAGAATTCACCACTACCAAGCCAGTGCTACAAGAACTGGTAAAAGAAATTCTAAATCTTAATACATTAAAATATACCAAAATAGAACCCCCTTAAAGCATGAATATCATAGGGCCTATAAAAAAAAAACACACACACAGTGAGAAAATAAGGTATTCAGGCAAATCCATAGCCAACATAATACTGAATGGGGAAAAGTTGAAAGCATTCCCACTGAGAACAGGAACAAGACAAAGATGACTACTTTCACTCCTTCTA